ATAGGCACTCCGTGCCGTGGTTGACAGCTGGCATGGTGCACGACGGCAAGCCGGGCAGTTATGCCTGCCTGACGCTTAAAGCTTACAACGGGCGAATCTTTGTGGCATACCTGAATGTCTGCATGGAAGCCCTGGCTAAGCAGCTGCATCACCAAGATGCTGAAGTCGAGATGGCTGTTCTGGCTACACGAACACTTGTGCGCTGGTTTCATGTACAAGAAACTGCACCTCGATTCCTCACCCTCGAGACCCTGGGCTGCTATGAGCGAAGACTTCCCGATCCTTAAAATAATTAGGATCACATATACATCAGACAATTATACTACTTAAGCAAGGCAAGCTGAAGCCATCTTGGATACCACGTGCAGCTATCTTCGAATGTATGAAGCCCTGGGGCGGTATGGTGTGAAGCACAACCTGTGCCGCTGGAAGTGTTTGCCCAAAGGGCATGCCTCCCAGCAGCTTTAGTAACTTTATTTTGTCATGTTTAGTCGGTTCGTTTATCTTAAACCCTACTTAAACCCTAGACCCTAAGCCCTAATCATACCTCTTCCTTATTTAGGGGGATAGTCGATCCGAGATGATGCGACACGTCGCGGAGAACGCGAAGAAATTTTTGTACAACCCAAGATGTCTACACACCTTTGTAGACGAAGATGTCATAGGACAACTGAAGCGACTCTGTGTGGGAATGCCAAGTAGATGGGCAGAAATATTAGCACTAGTTTTTTTACTTTTGGCTGTAATATTAATCAATTAATATGAATCTCAAGCCTGCCCAACCTAAGCAAGACAATTTGTGCCGAGATCGACTGATGGAGTTTCGACTCCTGAGCCGCATTTTGCTGAGGCTTGGTGCCTTTAAACGCGACCGCATGTGAGCTCTAGGTTGTGCGCTGCGAGATGAAATATGAGTGTCGACGATCTCGAACTCTAAACGTGTTTGCGACCCCGAAATCCGATATTAATGCAACACCACCCGACCTCCCCAATTGGGTTTCGGAAAAGCTTATCCCGGCAGGTTTTAAAGCTGTTGATCTCGTGCACTGCTCGTACGTCAGAATAAAGCCCGACCCCCAAGCAAAAAAAAGCAAGATAACAACCATATTATACCACTATTAAACCCACTAGACCCTAAAACCTAAACCCGAAACCCTAAAGGCTCAAACTCTTGTGGCTCAAGTGTCATCTAGTTTTCGTGGCTCAATAAAATCAAGTCGAAAGACCGGGGCCCGAATCCTGGATTCATTAAATACTGTTAACTTGCAGTCCATGCAATTCATTGGATACTGATATCTTGGCTATGCAATTAATTGCACAGGAGGAGCAGATCATATGTCTGCGAAAATCCTTAACGTGGGGTATTGTTCCGGAGATGGCTCCGTTTTCCTCCAACGCAATCCAAAAGCTTTCAAATAAGCAGCCTTTGGAGCCCCGGGGAT